CCATTCTGTAGGTATTGCTGATGATCTGCTGTACAGTGCTGATCTGGGTCCATCCATTGGCACCTTCATTCCCTAATACTGCAATACCTGAATTGCCTACCATTGAGCCAGAAACACCGTGTCTTAACTCCAGCAGTGCAATTCTTCCACCTCCAGCACCACCTCCACCAGAGGAGCTTCCATCACCCCCTCCTCCTCCTCCACCACCACCACCACCTTTACCAGAGGAACTTCCATCACCACCTCCACCCGAGGGTGGAGATGCTTTGGACGGCCCACATTCTGGTTTAGACTCCAAGAAGCTGGTCGCGGGGGCACCAGAGTCTGTAGTTCATCCTGGTAATGCCAGGGCTAGCTTACTGGAGTCTATCAGGCAAATGGGAGGCAGTGGGAAGGCTAAGTTGAGAAGTGTCAAAGAGAGAAAGATTGAGGCAAAGAAGAAGAAACAAGTAAGGAATTCTTAGGTTGTTTAGCACAGCTATGGTAGGTTCCTGAATTTCAAGGTATGAGAAAAGAAACCAGAAACATTAAATTTTATAGTACATACATAAATAACAGAAACATTAAATTACACTTGTGGTTTGTTATTATGTGATGGTGGATCTGACTTTAATTAAAGTTTTACTCTGTCATCAATACTTCGTTAGTTTGTTGCTGTAACATTAGATCTCATTGTTTTCTCAACACCAGTGGTCTCCATGAAAGCAGTGTAATTAAAAAGTTTTATTTTTGTAGGAAGAAAAAACTGTAGGTGGTTCAGGTGACCTGATGACAGACCTCTTCAACAAATTACAGATGAGAAGGAAAGGAATATCAGGCAAGTATAGACATCTTACATGATTTAAAACTAATAAATAAAACTAGTTGGGATTTATTTTATAGGAGTATGGATTTAGTAATATATATTACACAACATTTCAAGTGTTAGCAGTGTAATACACAATCATCTTACATGATTTAAAACTAATAAATAAAACTAGTTGGGATTTATTTTATAGGAGTATGGTTTTAGTAATATATATTACACAACATTTCAAGTGTTAACAGT